GGGTGTGAGAGAAAAGAGAGCTTGGGGAGAGAATAGAGTTCTAAGGGGGTTTCCTTTGTAAACCAAAGTTGTAACTTATTCTTTCATGAAGTGAATTTCTCAAGGGGATCACCAAGAGGATGTAGGCAATTGCTGAACCTCTATAAATTCTTGTGTCACTTTGTGCTTGGTTGTTGTCTCAAGTGTGTGTGTGTGTGATTCATCCATCATTGTGTGTGTCACAAAGTCCATCAACAACAAGATCATTAGGGGAGTGAGTGAAAGTGTTTGTCCATTTTTCACAACATACATTTTGTAGAATACATCACAACTAGACCGTATAGTAACAAGCAATTGATTATCGCCCATCACCATATGACATTAACATCTGGATTTGCATGCTGTCATATCCACTATTTGTACCACTAGGATGACCACAATCAGCTGTAACATCCACAACATAAGCGTCTGACTTACCTGACCCAAGCAAGTACTCGGTCTCCTCTGGACAATCAGCTTTCCCCCATGGATGCTTTGCCATAATTCTCATTCCCTCTAGCTCCATTGCTACTTCCTTCATGGTAGGCCTATCCTCCCCTTTTAACCTTACACACCTTCTTGCGAGATCGGCCACGTTTTTAACTGTCCCAATATTTCCCTCCTTGACTATTTCATCATCAAGAATTTGATTCAAGCGATCCACTTCCATTGACCAAACAAAGAAGCTCGCTAGGTTTCTCTCTTTCTCTGGCCTGTCAAAAGAAAGTGCCACCTTGCTTGTTAGTAGCTCCATAAGGACAACTCCAAAGCTGTAAACGTCACTCTTTTCTATTAGTTGACTTGAACAGAAGTACTCAGGGTCTAAGTATCCGAGTGTCCCTTGTACTAAAGTTGTTAGTTGAGTTTGATCCAGAGGAATCAATTTTGAAGCTCCAAAGTCTGACACTTTTGTTCTGTAATTCCCATCTAATAGTATGTTAGTTGTTTTCACATCTCTGTGTATGATTGGCATGGAAGTAGAGGAGTGCAAGTATGCTAGTGCTCCTGCAGTTTCTGCTGCTATCTTCAATCGTAATTCCCATGAAAGTGGTGATCCCTTGTCCTTTGAATTATGAATGTGCTCAAAAAGAGTGCCATTGGTGATGAACTCGTAAACTAGTAAAGGCACTGGTGTCTCTAAACAGCAACCCAATAGCCTCACCACATTTCTATGGTTGATTTGAGAAAGAACAATCATCTCATTAACAAACTGCTCCTTCTGAGTTGAGACGCCAATTTTGGACTTCTTTATGGCAACCACTTATTCAAGCACAAAAAAATTTACATGACTTTCTCAAGGAAAAAAAACAAAGACAAAACAAATATCATCAACCTTTCCCCCAGCTGGATGCTTTTCCATAATTTGCACTAATCCTCGGAGCTCCATGGCTAATTCGTTCATTGGAATTTGGAGGCCTTTCTTCACCTCTTAACACCAAACATCTTTTTGCCAGATCCGCCACTTTTTCTCACTCTCTCGAAATTATGTGCGTCTTTAAGTAATTCGGCATCAAGAATTTTCAGCTAGCCGACCCTCTTTCATCGAGCAAACAAAGAAGTTTGCTGTAACATCCCGACCCAAAATAAAAGGAATAGTGAATTAATTAATTTAAAGAATTATGAATTTACAATTTTGCCCTCGGAGTAGGGGTAGTGTGGTTATTTTAATCCGGGAGGATTTCGGGGCAGTGGCTGGTACCTTTACGTAGGTCGTACTGAGACAAGTCCGTAAATATGCGGTAGGCTTGAATCGGAGTCGTAACGAGAAAGTTACGAGCAAAACATCACTAGTGGCATAATCGTAAATAAGTTGAAACTGGTTTTTAATTAAAAACCAGAAAACCCTCCCATTTCTCCCTTTCTCTCTCAACCTCTGTGCACTCAACCCCCCCGGGTACTGTTCATTCGAACGGTTTTTGGCCAGCCGCCGCTGCGTCCGGCCACCTCCGGCGAAAAGACCGGTCTCGTTAGAACCGTTGTCTCGTGCTCTCTCCGTTCTGTCCCTTCCCCGACGACAGCAGCCACCGTAGCTGCCGGAATCTGCAAAAAATGGGGCAGATTTTCACCCACATTTCTCAAGCTCGTTTCGGACATTTCCGGCGACCAATTTTTATGATCTTGGTATGTTTTTCTAACCTCTCGACGTGATTTAGCTGCTGGTTGTGTTAGATTTGAGAAATTTCTGCGTTTTGGCAGTTAATTAAGCGATAGAAAATCTGCCAGTTTCGGCTTCCGATTCCGGCCACTTCCGGCCACTTTTTGGGGTAGGTCCAAGAATAAAAGTGGTTCCAAATTAGGTGTTTTACCTAGAGTAGGAAGCTTGGCCGGTGGTTTGGAGTTTTTCCAATCACCGGAAATTTCTTTGGACACTCACGCATTGCCGGCACGTGGGGTGGGGTGTGGGCCATGTGTTGGCCTGTCATTGTGTCCTAAAATGATCTCCTGGTTCTCACAAGCGCGTATAAATTTGCGGATCTCAATTCGGATAACGTATGAACCCCGAATGGATTTTACATATTGTGTAATTTCTGGGTTTGATATGTTAGAACTGTTGGATCGCTTCCAATTTAATAAGTGTTGATCTAGATATTCCTAGGATCATGTAGAATTTCGCGGATCATGAATCGGAGCCCCGGATGTTCCAATTCAATAAGCTAAAGTTTTCGTTTTACGATAACCGTCCGATCGTGCGATCAGGAACTTTCGGATCGTAAAACAGAGGTCGGGGGTCCCGCGAGCCCGGTTGACCAAGTTTGGGCAGTTTTACCCTCGGTTGACCGTGAGTCTTCCGAGGTAGTTTCACTCTTCAAGGAGTACTAGAATGACCTTTTTGGACGAGTCTTGACCGTCATTGGATTTATGTTGATTATGCGGGTCTATGAGCTTATTTTTATGGTTTTGTGATGAAAATCTTATGCCTTTGAATTTAATGGTTTATTTAAGTTCTTTTTATATTTAATAGTTGAATTCTTTAATTTTGTAAAGTATTTGTGATATATGTGGGTTTGACATATTCGAGTATTTTGAGTCATATATATAATATTTGAGAAAATGCTATCTATGTTGATTATGTGTGGGGTACTTGGGTTGTTGATGTGAGATGCTAGAAAGACATGAGTTAGAATGCCAGTTTGAGTGCTATTAGCACTACCCTAGATACCACCCCGATTACGGATTTTATGCGTGAGAGTTTTTTTGTTTATACTATGAATGGGTATTGTGGGAAAAATTGAATTAAGGAAGAGAATATTATTTATATAATATTTATATAAGGGTTACGAACTCCACCATCATATGTACCTTCCCTTGGAAATGGTACTTGGAAACAATGGAAATGGGTACTTGGAAACAGTGGATATGGACACTGGGATATATGGAAATTGTGGATATGGTTTGGATATGACGAAACCCGGGGCATACCTTAACGGGGTGTCGCTGTAGACCCTTAATTGGGTAGTCTGCACGCGTAGGGCTGTTTTTAGGCGTACGGGTCTTGATTCTTCGTCCGTACGTGCTGGTTGAGTTAGTCCCCCATTTGGATGGCTCGTCCCTAGCCACATGGCCATTTGAGGGCGGATACTTGTGAGCTAGACAACAATCCCCGGTTGGATTGTTTTCCCCAGTACATGATGTGCATCATCATCTGTACTTCCCCTTGGATATTGATACATGGACACAGTGGATATGGATACGTAGATATGTCGGAACCCGGGGCATACCTTAACGGGGTGTCGCTGTAGACCCTTAATTGGGTAGTCTGCGCGTGTAGGGCTGTTTCTGGCGTACAGGTTTTGATTCTTCGTCCGTATGTGCTGGTTGAGTTAGTCCTCCAGTTGGACGGCTCGTCCCTAGCCACATGGCCATTTGAGGGCGGATACTTGTGAGCTAGTCAACAATCCCAGTTGGATTGTTTTCCCCTGATACATTATGATGGTGAGAGGTGGGTGTATATATATATGTGGATCGGATTTTGGATTGAGACTCGTGAGTTTGTACTTTGTGAGTACCCTGTACATGTATTAATGTTTAAGCCCTGGATTGGGAAGTGTTGTTCGGCAACATACGCCTTGGATAGGGTATGGTTGCAGGATTGAACTGATATAAAGGAAGAGATTGAGAATGTGTTCATTGTGTTTTGTCGGAATTGGAATTGTGATAAATCTGAAATGTATCGTTGGTTCTGCTTTAAATAATTGTTTATTATCGGAGTTGTGACCGTTGATGATCAGAACTACGTGTGGCTTGATCCCTTGTCCAAGGGTACGTTGGTAGCCTGGGGCCTCACCTAGGTGCAGCCGCGAAATATACTATGTTTAAAAGGTTTGATTGATTCTGAGTATGGGAATGGATTTTAATGTGGTTGTTGGATTTGAACCCAAATTATTACTACTGTTGGGTTCGGTTTTGAATATGTTGGTATGCCTAAAGCTTGTTTACACTTGAGCAAGATTAAATGCTTGTTTATTCCTCAGTTATCACTTGATTGAATTTTTATTAAATAGTGCGTGTGGTTGACATGTCTGAGGACCTTTACGAAGTAAACAATTGATTTTTAGGTTTGGTTATGTTGTATAACGGGCTTGAGGCCCTTATAACTGCTAGTGGTTCTGCCTTGATTTATTTGGAGGGTGGAAGCCTATTTTGTAAATTGTGTCTTGCATTGTGTGTGCTGCCAGTTGGGATAAAAATTGTGATTTTAATAGGTTGAGAACTTGGGGAAAAGTCAAATTTACAGGGGAGTCTCTGCCGAAATTTTGGCAAAAAGTCTTGGTTCTTAGTAAGTGGGCCCGGCATCGGTGTGTTGTCGAAATTTCCACAGGATTCGTCTCTAGTTCCGAGGAATTCGGGGCGGGTCCTGTCATTTGCTAGGATTTCTCTGCCTCATTTTTTTTTCTTTCTATTTTTATGTATGACACAAAACAACTACATCTTCTATGTTTGATACCCCCTCCCCCGAGAGACCCCAATTTATTTTGTATAACAAAAAAAAAAAAAAAAGACCAAGAAATATAGCAGGTAGTTGAATGAGAATATGCAAGCAACATAACCTCGTCAAGCTTGAGTAAGATACCATTGGCAGTATAAAGCTCGTCAAGCTTAAGGTTTTCTAGAATTTGCAAGAAAATTGCTGTTTTTCTTCTTTTTGGGTTTGTTTATAGAAATTAAACGGTGTAAAATTTATTTATATCATTAGTACTAAGAACGAGTGTATGACTAAATATCTCAAAACAGACAAAAATAGGAGCTCTCGTTTAGGCTAGCTAGCCAGCTAGTACTTACATATATAGCAGCGTCAGAGGAAGTTTGAAACATGTTATTCAAATTTATGAAGAAAAAGAAGAAGATAATAATCACAAGTTTACAATATATAGATAATAATCAAATACCACATAATTAACTCTATGACACACACACATATTACAGTAGTACGTTCTACGCTAACGTACTTTTATTTCAAGAGGCACTGATGACTGGAATTGAAACAAACTACAATTCAATACATGCTAGATCACTAAGGAATTAAGGAGCTAATTAACTACCTGCCATCACCATAAGGCTTTACCATTTGGATGCGTTAGAGTTTGCATGTTGTGATCGTACTCCAAACTACTTATATCCACAACGAAATTAGCAGGTGACCCAAGCAAGTATTTGGTCTCTTGGTCGGTCTCTTGGGGAGATAGTTTGAAATCAGCCTTCCCCTCATCTGAATCCTTCCCAATAATTTTCAATAATCCCCTGAGCTCCGCCGCTACTTCTTTCATCGAAGGCCTTTCCTCCCCTCTTAACCTTAAACATCTATTTGCCAGATCCGCCACTGTTTCAATGACTTTCTCAAACCCTTCCCCTCCCTTGGCTATTTCAGCATTAAGAATTTCATCCAAGCAGCCCTCCTTCATCGCGCGGACAAAGACTTTTTCTAGGTTTCTGCCAACCTCGGAGTTTTTGTTTGAGGATAATGCCTTTGGGCTTGTGATTAGCTCCACCAGGACAACTCCGAAGCTATACACATCACTCTTTTCTGGTAGTATGTGGGACTGAAGATATTTAGGGTTCAAGTGTCCGAGTGTCCCTTGCACCAAAGTTGATAGTTTTCCTTCATCTTGATCCGGAACCAATTTTGAAGCTCCAAAGCCCGCAACTTTTGCGGTGTACTTCTGGTCTAGTAGTATGTTCATTGCTTTAACATCTCGGTGTATGATTGGGGGCTCAGTGTAGTGGTGCAAGTATGAGAGTGCTTCTGCAGTATCTGCTGCTATCTTCAACCGCAAGTCCAATGGAAGTCGTGGGTATTTGTTGTCTTTTCTATGAATGTGATCATGAAGAGTGCCATGGGAAATGTACTCGTAAACCAGTATAGGCGTTTGAGTCTCTAAACAACAGCCAAGGAGCCTCACAACATTTTTATGGTGGATTTGGGAAAGAACAATCACCTCGTTAACAAACTCTAGACTCTGAGTCCCAGTAATTGGGGAATTAACTTTGGGCTTTTTTATGGCGACCACTTTGTTATGATGATCTGCGGACAAATTTCCGTTGTAAACTACTCCATAGCCATCTTCACCAATTTTACTCTCTTCATTGTAATTGTTTGTGGCCTTCTTCAGTTCTTCTTCAGTAAAGATTGTGGCCGCATCCACGGATCCATTGTAACTAGCCAACTGTTGTCGTAAAAATAAGCCACCATTTTGTTTAAAGAACTTGTCTTCTTGTTTCTTGAGCTGTCTTCTCTTCATTCTGCAGTACAGGCAAAAAAATACAACCAGTAGAACAAAGAAGGCCGCAATGACTCCTGCATATACATAGTTGAAAAATCATAATCAACTTAATTACAATTATTTGGAAAAGATCGTATGCTCATATCATGGCATGGTCATAGCCACTGAAATTTAACAAGTTTGTTTTAAAATTTTAGGACAAGGGTAAAAAAAACAGGGTGGGTCTGGAGAAATAGGACAGGGGTGGAAATAACAACATTAATCTAATATTATACTTATTTTACTTTATATGGATTTTGGAGGCAAAGGGACAAAGTGGTTCTCTTAAATAATAGCATAGATTATAATATGTATATCACTGTGAAATTATTTATTAATTTTACATTTGGTCTTTTTAAACAAAAACTTGGGAAATTTTTACTTTTTTTTCCTAGAGAAAATTATTGTTTTCCTTTATTTATCCTTTATGTTTGTTTTACTAAGCAGGAATGCAAGCAGATAGCTATTTCATGTTAATTAATAGGTAGCTAGTAATACATACCTACTGAAATTTTCAGGGAATTATTATTTGATGTCGATTGTGTACCCTGTGGAGGGTTTTTTAAGCAACTAGTTCCATTCACACTGTCGATTGTGTACCCTGTGGGGCATAAACAAGTGTGACTTCCAGGTAAATTGAAGCACGTTCCATTAGTGCAGGGATTAATATTTGGAAAGCTGCACTCATCAATATCTGAAACGAAAATCAGGAAATTCAATCAGTTAAATTTGAAAAAAAAAAAACAAATTACATATATAGTATATATACTATGTAGTAGATATATATGTGTGGATAGATGTATCACCTTGGCAACCATTTGGGTGGTAAGGGTTGCCCTCGTAACCTTTGTTGCACTTGCAAACGTAACCAGACCGATTGATGGGGTTGACACACGTGCTATTTCCCTTGCATACATAGTCCTGCCTCTTTTGAGCTTCATCACATGGGTCTTCCTCAACCCCAATTGCCCAATTCAAAATCATTGGAACATTTTCCAATTTATCAAGTTGTTCAAAAGTTTTATTGGAGAATTTGAACTCGCGTTCTTCAACAATGAAGGCGTAGCTGCAGGGGTTAAAGCCCCATATATCCGAATGGTTGTTGATGCTTGTCAATCGCACGGTGCGATTTTTCATCCCACTGGGGATGTTCGTTTGGCAGCATCCAACGCCGGAGCAAATGTCCTGATCAACGCTGCCAAGGCTATCACAAAAGGACATGCACCCCGTTATGTAGCTTTCTTCACCACGAAAACCTTGGAAAAGTGCTAACGTGTCACAACCAACAGCAATGAACTTGTTTTTGGTATCGGAGATGGTGAAAGGAGGCGGCAGACTGAGCCAAGGGTCGTTGTTAATCGTGTTGTTACCCTGCTCGTCGTAACAATCTCGGGCTATGTACTGCTGTACCTGCATCTCAGCCTCATCAAGGGAAAAGGCAGTGACAGTGATGCTGCTGCCCCAGAGTGCTGTTGGGGATTCGGTGGATGTGTCGCAAGTGATGTCAAAGCCTTCCATGTAGCAATTAACACCAATGCCAAAAGGGTATGGGATTGTGAGATTGCCACACTTGTCTGGGCAGCCAGGCAGGGCTTGAGGGAAGGCTTGTGCTACTGTTGTTGTAATTACAGACCCTAACATCACATACACTCCCACCATTAATATTACCAATGAGAGTTGCTCAATAAGCATCCTCTCATGTAATAAGGCCATGGCACAAGTATTTGTATATGCACCACTCAATAAGTATTTCCAGCACAAACGTTTGTATTGCTTGTGATAAAAATAAGTGGTACCCTGCATGGCCTTTTATAGATAGAGGGCCTCATTGGGTTAGGGAAAACGTCTTCCTCTACTTATGGTTATCTCATCTGTCTTTTTTATTTGTTGATAGGCAAGTGAAATGGGCGAAGTCTTCTTTAGGTGGTATCTATTATTTTCCTCTTAGTAAAATGCAATTGATGGATATGAGCCCCACTTTGACGAATAATCCCACTTGGTTCCAGTCAATAAGCCAAAACAACCTATTTCCCTTTCCGACGACTCGGTGACCTTTGACACGTTACACCTGGTTGCACGTAATCTTGACTTTCGCCTTTCACTCGTGCAATTGGCCAATCAAACTAATTAAAGGAGCAAAGTCTTTTTTATATATGATAAATAAGCGCAGTCACATCCACCCGCAAAGTCACTGACAAGCAGGGATAATATAATATTTAATAAATAAATATGATCTGGCATTCTGTCCTATGAATTCTTACTCTTAATTTATTATCGAGTCCACGATCTGGCAACTAGACGAATGGATTTTCGTGTAATAAGAAATTTGTGAGTTATATTTATATATATAAAGAGTTTTCATTGAGAAATCCTTCAAATAAGTTTATTCGAGGGATATTTTTGTAGGGTCCACTCCGAGCTGTATTTCATTAATTTAAACAGTCTATGTTTTATATAATAATTTAAAGATCATTTTTACAAAAAATCACTTGAATTCGATAACGTTTGACCACTCAATTGCATTATTGAAATTTTAGTACTTTTTTAAGCACTATATTCATTGATTTTGTATGACACAATTGGATGTCGAAACGGTTTCCAATTTGTCTAATTTCAGTAACGCCAAATGGGTATGGAATTGTGACATCTCCACACTTGTCCTGCTAGTTTAGTAGAGTTAATTGAGCTGCTGTAGCCGCCGCCGCCGCCATTACCAAGGAGACTTGCATAATAAGCATCCTCTCATGTAAGAATGGCATGGTATACTATATCTACAACTTAATTCCGTGTAGTATGGTTTATATTCTACAAAACTATATGTTTGTTGAATTATGAGTGAATAAACTGCTAACAAGCCTGGCCTTTTGTAGGCATATTATCCATGTAAGGAATGAGGACTGGTAGGGTCACGCCGTGGCTCAGGGGGGCTAGCCTAGAGGATGTCCTCATCTTTAGTAATTTGTCCGTTGATGCAAATGTCCCATCCGTTTTTCTATGTTGAAGTCGTCTGCGCATAATTTCCAATTACTTAGCAAGTGGAACTTTGAAAAGGATATATGCATGTCAAATTCTTGTGCAGTAAAGACTGGTGCGCATGGCATTGGCCCGTCGAGAGTCATTTGGCGGGTTCCAATAACGTTGCAGTCCATGGCCACATGCCGTGGAAAATTTACGCATTGATTGTGTCTATTTTTCGGATGATGCATGGTCCATGGAGATGGAATTTGGAAGCATCTGGCTGCGCGCCAAGACCATATCTCACACCACTGAATAGTAGTCAGTAGACTGAACTGATTGCAAGAAAAGGACAGATTCTGTTTAATCGGTTGCTTGTTTTGCAGTGTTTCTGTTTTCAACCCAAAGATTTTCTTAACTCTGACTAAATGTTGAAGAAAAATATGAATCTTCCAATATAATTTCACCACCACTAATTAAATAATAGAGTTTTATTATTTTTGGTTCGATCCATTTGAGGGAACACCCTTTGATTACAATCCTTTGCTTCAAGAGAACACCCTTTGATTCTATAATAAAGAAACAAAATGTGTGTGTTTGGTATTGCTGCTGCCCCTAAGTTGAACCTCAGGATGCCTACGTATCCCTTGCGGGAATAAAGCCACTCGTAGTTCAAAGAATTGCAATGAATAAATGACTCATTGCGAGGGTAATTTGATTTGAATTGTATTGAGAAGTGTTTGAGTGAATTTAGTTTAATAAACCAGGGATTCGATATGGAATTGTGTTTGGGGGCGAATTTGGTTAAGAATAAACCAGAGATTCTGTTCGGATTTAAGATTTGGAAATTAATGGGTAAGTGTAGCCCACTAATTAAGAATTTGTGTCTTTGAGACAATTTGGAGATGCTGAAATTTTCATATGTAGATGACCCATGGGAAAAATTGGAAATTAAGAGGTAAGTGTGGCCCAGTAATTGAGAATTTGTGTTTGAGAGATTTGAATTTAATCTCATTGAAATTTGCATGTATCATTTTTCTTATTGTTAATGTCCAAGAAAAATAATGAGCAATTTCGATTAACCTACTAATTTTCTAAACTTGACATTTCCACTTGGAAAAGTGTTTTGGCGAATTTGGTTAAAATAAACCAAGGATTCAAATTTGGTTGCAGTTGCGTCTAGTGGATTGCTAGACTGCCTTCGTACACTTGATGGGATCAAACCGACGCAGTTCCAAAAAGATTGTTTAATTTGTGTAGTTTTGTACCACTTGGGCCTTCGTTGGATTTTGTACCACTTGGGGTTTTGACGTGGTTTTGTACCACTTTGGATTTGGTGTGATCTTGTACCACTTGAGATTTGGTGTGGTTTTGTACCACTTGAGTCTTCACTAGACAATTTGGGAATTAATGAGACTTTTTTTTATTTGAGCCAATTAATCCATAATTTGTGAATTTGGGACTTTGCACCAATAATTCACCAATTGGATTTTTTAATGGACAAGCCTGTTGGGCCTGAGACTTGTTATGAATGAGCCCGTTGTATTTGAGATCATCGGGTCTTGAGAGAGGTGTTTACTATGCTAGTCCCAATTAATTTTTTATTAGTACCTTTACTCCAGCTGGTTCTTTTACTGCTTGGTGCCAAAAGCAAATGTCTTTTAATTTGACCAAGACACCCAAGGATAAAAATTCTTCTCCAAGTGAAGTATGAATTAGCCTCCTTATTGCATTGGAACCCCTTGCGCATCCAGGAAAGCAGTAAGCCCCTTGTTCATACATAATTACACTCAATCAAAGTAATTTCTTGTTACCAAATGGTATGGTAACAAGAAGAATCAACATAACATTATGGAGGTAAAACTGGCCCAAGACAAATTTCCAGAGCTGTTGTAACATGTAGGATCGGTTGGATGGGCTATACTTGTCCAATTGAGCTCAAATTTGGGTATGTTGTAGTTAACATCCATTGGAACAAGTTTCATGAAGATCTTCACCTCATCCGAGCACCGGAGCATGCTGATCCAAGGCCAAGTAGTTGATCTACGAAAATGAACAAAAACAGAATTTATAACCAATCATGCACTTTTAGCTCATTTTCATTCTAACCAAGTTAAAATCTATGAAAACACAAAAAGAAAGTAAAAAGCTATAAAATGTCAAGAACTAACTCAAAATAATGGGTGAATAACATGATAAATCATGTGTAATAATGAATCGAACATGTTGCTGACTTTTTGTCTTCTTTCTTTGAATGTACAAACTGTGCCTTGCCATGGGCCATATTGAAGGCTTTGATCCAATTTGTCTTCTTGCTTCAGAAACCAAAGAGAAAGCTTGCTTGAGTATTTGTTTTGCCTAATCTTCTTTTCTTTTTTGTTTACTGTAGCAGTCCTTTCCCTATTGCCAATCTCTTTTTCTTTACTCATTTTTTTTTAGTCAAAGTAGACAAAGACAATCATCCAAGAGAGGGAGGGGCTAGGCCTCGTCAATGTGCTGGGTCGGGCCAGCTCGGTTCAAATTTAATGGCCTTGGATCGGGCTTCAAAAAGGAGAGAGAAATAACGGGCTGGGTTTTTTTTCTTTAGAAAATTCAAAACCCAATCCCATCCCATGAGATGGGCTTGAAAAAGCCCATCGGGCCGGGCCGAGTTAAGCCGAACGGGCCGGGCCTAAATGGCCCTACTTTATTTTGTATTTTTTTTATACGGATTTTTTTGTCAATTCTTTATTTATTTTTTCTATGTTTTGGTGTGTTTCTATGTTTCCATTGTTTTCATAGTTCTCTATTTATAATTGTCTATATGTTTGTGTCTCCATTTTTTTCTTTGTTCATAATTTCATAGTTGTCTTTCTTTTTCTTCCATAAATATAAAGATATAGTTATACAACCGCCATATTAATAAACTCATATTTTATCCCATACTTCATTTTTTTTTTTGTTCTTACAATGATAATCGATAATGATTTTCTCCATCTTTCATTCAACTTGGGTTTTATTATATATTTATTTATATGTATGTGAGCCCGTGGGCCAGGCTTTTATAGGCAGGTCGAGCCGGGCTTTCTTAGGTTCAAATAGGCTGGGCCGGGCTTTAGACACCTAAGCCCAAGCCCGACCCACTCAACAACGAGCTGGGCCAGGCTCCCATCGGCCCATGGGCTCGCAGGCCTAATGATGACCCCTAGGAGGGGCTGTGCGACACAACCCCCTTTTTTTATTTTATTTTTTTTCTTCTAGCTGCCTCCCTCTTTGTTTTGTCTCTTTGCAACTAATGGGGAATTAATGGGTGCCATGGCTAAACTGGTAATTGGTTGTCTTTCCCCTAATGCTTTTGAAACCTTGGCTATGATTGCAGGTTGTCGAATGGCAATAGATGCAGGATTCACAAGGTTAATTATTGAAAGTGAT